CTTCCTTCCTTCTCTATTTCTCTCTTTCCCTTCTTCCTTCCTTCTCTCTTTCTCCCTTTCCCTTCTTCCTTCCTTCCTTCACTATTTCTCCCTTTTCTTCCTTCCTTGCGTATTTCTCTCTTTCCCTTCTTCCTTCCTTCACTATTTCTCCTTTTTCTTCCTTCCTTGTGTATTTCTCTCTTTCCCTTCTTCCTTCCTTCTCTATTTCTCCCTTTTCTTCCTTCCTTCTCTATTTCTCCCTTTCCCTTCTTCCTTCTGTCTCTATTTCTCTCCTTCCTTCCTCATTCCTTCCCTGACCCCCCTCCCAAAAAGGCACCATTTCAGAATATATTCTTGTAGTTTTGCGTATTTCTTGCCTACTAAAATGCAATAGATTTCTCCGCGGTTCCGTTCCCCGCTGTGGCCATTCGCAAACAAACACGCCAGAAGCTGTTCCTTCATGTCTCTCTTTATTATTGAAAACTCTTTGAGATACAATTGACCGAACTAAACTGAACGTAATTTTTTTTTTTAAAAAAAAAGGGGGGGGGGTAGATGAGAAAACCAAAAAAAAACCCAAACAGCTTTAAAATGTTCTCGTGATATGAAAAAAACCTACAAGCTCCGTACACTGAGCGACGCAGAGTGCAAAGGTGGTGAACCCCGTCGTGGTCTTTGGTGCCTAGAATTGCACACGCACCTGGACGCCGGCGCGCAAAACTCACACCACAGAGACGGCTGTGCGAAGGCACACGCACACACAGACACACAGAGACACACACACACACACACCCCCGAGCTCAGAAGGGGCCCGACCTACAAAGGCATTCCCTCCGTGCGTTCTTTACATCCGGCGCTCCCCTTGTCCCCCGTTGGATAAAGAGGGTGGTTTGGTCCCACAGAGTCAGCGGATGAGATGAAACATCTTCAGAGAAGAGCCAAGGAAGGCTAGTTGCGTCTCCCTAGACAACGAGGACACCGCCACAAGCGATCACACCGTAAGCCCACTGAGACCGAAGGGAGCACCTCTTTCTCCACCTCACCCCCACTTCAACGGCGTATCTACGGGGAACAGCAGCTACAGGTGGCTCTACCCGATCAAGTGTAAACAAGGACTTCTGGAATGTTTTCAGTCTACGCGATTAAACGGGATTTCTCCTTCCAGAGGAGACTAAAGGCGAAGAGTAAAAGGTCAGGAAGGCGATTTCAGGACGTGCTCGACACCGCGCGCCTCCCAAAGATGTCTGCCCGGGTGTGAGTCCAAGCTGGCTGAGACCCACCCCAGCAGGGACGGCATCCCTGAGCAGCGAGACGAGCATGGCGATGTGCCTCGGACACGCAGGAGGGACCTTGCGGTTCTCCAGACGGTTTTCTTCACGGCAAATCTTAGAAGAAGACGGAGTGGGACGACACGCCGTGTGCTGGATTCACCCCGGTTGGCTCACGTGCACGCGCACACACACACACACCCTGGCCAACTCACCGTGGGACAATTTGACATGGCTGACTCGCCGCAGGACCATTCCACTCGAGAGAGAGAGAGAGAGAAGTAGGGATGGTAGCTCGTTCCATCCTTGAGGACTTCCAACTTGAGAAGGCTCCAACCGTAAGCAGGACAAGGCCCACTGCAATTCAGTTTGTCCCTCTCGCGAGTTATCCTGTGTTGAATTAACGGAATAACCAGCGTTGGAAGGGACCTTGGAGGTCTTCCAGTCCAACCCACTGCCTCTTAAACACCTCCAGCGATGGAACACCCACAACTTTTGGTGGCAAGTTATTCCATGGGTAAATTCTTCTTACTGTTAGGAAGTTCCTCCTTAATTCTAGGTGGCTTCTCTCCATGATGAGTTTCCATCCGTTGTCTTGCAGCGAGTTTTTCCCCACAGTGATTTCCCCTTCGTGAGTTGTCCCACGGGATTTCAGCCATGGCGAATCAGCCAGGGTGAGATCGATGGGGTGAACCGGCCGTGACGAAGTCCCCTTCCCTTCCTTTCCCTCCGTCTGGAGACCACGGGCCAACACCGCTGCGTGCCTCCTATCCCTTCCCCAACCCCTTGTAAAACCGCCCTTCCCGACAGCACCAGATACTACAAGAGAAAAAGCATTATTACAGCGCGAGACATCAATATTGGCAGTGGAGCTCGCTACGAGAGGAGGAGAACAGAAGATCAGAGAGATTTCGAAGAAAAAAAGTCCCAGGCAGCTACTCTACCCTAAATCGGTAACTTGGCTGGATCGGAAAGCAACATTGGTCACGTCAATGTTTGGCTGTTTGGGCCAGAGCCCACACGGGAACGCACATCACAAACTACGGTTCCGAGGATGGCTGGATCACGGAAGAGAAGAAAGGATCAGGTGTAGGTGGGTTGATGATCCGAAGAACTCGGCGACCCTGATCGTATTTAGGCACAAGGAGGGAGAATTATTAGACACTCCGCTACTGGATTATAAGACTTAGTGGAAAACTCCCTCAGGATATAAGCAGCAGTGGAAAGCAACCGGTTCCGTGAGCACAAACTTCGCACGCGCGTGTGCAGCATTGGATAAACCCCCATTCGAACCACTGCAGCTCACCTTCTAGCTTTCCACGGTAAGTAGAACAGCTGAGGCGTGGTAATCCACTTTGCCCCACAAATCAGCTAAGCTGCAAAAGTAGGAAATGTCAGGATAGGGCAGGGGTGGGCAGGCAGGGCCAACTAATCGTTGTTTGTACCAGTTCACTAGAACTAGTCCAAACCAGCTGCAGCCCACCACTGGATATAAGTGGAGAGGAATAAAAGCACTCCTTCCGTGGCTCACAGGATGAACCACCATGCAGCAAAGACCCCCCACCCCAAAGACCACCGGCTCAAAGACCCTTCAAAAATCAAGAAAACTTTTCTTGAACGTCCAACATTGGGGATATAGTTCAAAGGAACGAGCCTCTTGTCCGCGGACCATTCCTTATCCAAGATTTTTTTAAAAAAAATTGCTGGACCTCTTTCCAGGAGAACGTGCGGCAGGGTTAATTTGAAGAATACACACCGTATTCTTCGGAGTAATTCACGCTCCTCGAGAATTGCACTATGCCCGTAAACCTGACTCTGAAAAGGAATCCTGCTCTACTCCTGGGTGTTTTCACAAACGGGTTGACAAAGCAGAGAGGTAAGTAGAGTAAGAGAGATTTCGATGGCCTTGTACGGCGGCAGAATCAGCGGTGGGATTCAACTGGTGTAACAACCGGTTCGTTTCAAAACCACCCCTTTCCAGCTAAAACTTACCTTCTGGTGAGTAAAAACAGGTGATACATGGCAATCACCTGGGCGGAAAAACAGAAATTTAGGACTAGGGCAGAGGCAGATGGGCGGTGCCAACTAATCGCTGAAACTACCAGTTTGACAAAACCGGTGTGAACCGGCTGAATCCTTCCAAGAGTATTGTTTTAAAGCGGGCGCCATGAGCTGTTTGCTAGAATGCACGGACCTTCCGGTCAATGACAAGTATTCCTCGACTTAGGACCAAATCTCGCCCCCACTCCCCCTTGTTGCTAAGTGAGACAATTGTTAAATGGGATTTTGCCCCATTGAAGGTTTGCCAAAGGGGATTGGGAGCCCGGGAGGCTGCAACCATCATCAATCCGACTTCGTCTGCCAAGCGCCGATGTTGCCAACGGTCCTTATGATCATGTCACTTTTTTTTCAGCGATGTCATAACTTGGAATGGACACTAAATGAATTGTCCTAAGTCGAGGACACACAGGCTTACCCTCACTCATTCATTTGAATAAAATAAGATTTTTAGGGCTATTTCTCTTTTTTTTTTTTTAGGGAGTTTCATCCTTCGTTCCAAAGGAGGGATTCTAACAGTCCGGCCTGCGTTCGGGTGAACGAGTAGCTCCAATGATCAGCTGTTGGGCCTATTTGCTCGTCCAGTTCTAGACTGTGTTTTATATTGTGGTTTTCAAGCTCAGCCGATTTCTGTCATGCATCAGCTGTTTAACACACAGAGATCGCTGGGGAAGGTCAGTAGCAAATGCGAAGTGCGCGCACAAAGCACGCACTCACCGAACCACTTGTTACACCGGTTGAATCGCATCCCTGCTTACTTCCTATCCTCATTTCCACCACCTTGAACGGCCAAACCAAGAATGTAAGTTAAATATAAGACTGCAAAAGGGCCTCTTACTTTACTTCAACCAGCTTTGATACTCCGTAATGATGGCTAGTATTTTTGTTTTCTCTCGTTTTTTTTGTTTTAAAAAGACAACCTTTTAGCGGGCGGAAACCTGGAACGGCCGGCGAAGACGACCAGAAGGGTTTTTGAAATCTTGGCTGGGAAATTGGCAAAAGCTTTCAAGTAAGGGTGTTACCTGAGCCGAGGGATTATGGGAAATCAAAACCTGGTCAGTATTAGAGGACTATTTTAGTCTGGCTCAGTGCAAAAAAGATCACGCTTCTGGCCACAGGCACTCTTATAATGCAAAAATGACCAAGAAAATACGTCATAATGCAAGCGCCACCTTCTCTTCCTTGCACTGTAGGCTTATAGG